ATCGATGCGCTTTGATTTTCCCCGCGAAATTGTAACCAAGGAAACGCAAACAATAATGATAATGTGCGGGTACTATAACCATCGAACAAAAGCAAACATCTGCATGCAAAAAATGACCTCGTACTGGAGTGCAGAAGAAACCAAATGTCTAGTAGAAAGCTGGAAAAACACAATGGTCCAGCACAACATTAATGAGATCCCTATTGTCAGAAATAGCTTTCTATATATGGAAATAGCAGACAAAATGGCTAGCAATAATTATAGTAACAAGGATTGGAAACAGTGCAGAACTAAAATCAAAGGACTTGTTGCCAAATATAGAAAGGTGAATAGTAAGGGTGGAGATTATTGTTAGTCATAATAAATGTAACTATATATATAGATGAAGGATGGAAATAGAGTAAGTGGGACAGACAGAAAGGATTGTCCTTTTTATGACTGCTTTGATTCCATTCTGGGCACCAGAGCAGCAACAGAGCCACCTGTACTAATTGATAGTAGTGAGTCTGCCATCGTCATCAACACTGAAGATGACGTTGACACTGATGATGAAGGTAAGACTGCCTCGCTCTGTAAATTTTAGGCCATTTACTTGATTTAAGGTACAGTACAGAACAGTTGCATTGCAGGAGGTACAGTGGAATACTCTCCAGAATTACTTAGCGTTCCAGGGGAGAATATAGAGCCTGGCAATGCAGTTGTGGCTGCTCAACCAGAGGGTGCTTCAGTAGTCACAGAAATGCATGCACCTAAAAAAGGTAATCAATAATAATTATTATTATCAATTAAAATTAATCAATGTGACTATTTTCAGGACACACAAGAAAGAGACAGGGATCAGGAAAGGCCGATATGGCAGAAATGTTGATGTTGATAGAAAAAAAGGCAGATGCGAGAGAAGAAAAGCTAATCAAAATGTACGACGAAATGAAAGAAAAAAGAAGAGAGAAAGAGAGGGAACATGAACTCAATATCACAAAAGTGTTTATGTCCATGATGGAACGAATGGCACCACCACAGCACCAGCCGTACCAATCGTATGACTATAGCCAACCATACTACCCACCACATCCACAATAGCCAGTTAACACTTTATGATATAGCAACAATAATACTATTATAATTGTGATAATTACTTACCCCATAAACTGTCCATTTTCGTAACATTATTGATTGTCTAGCTTGCTATTATTTTACTGCCTAGCTGTAAACTGTTCTAGACCAGGTAGTCTCACTTCTCTCCGGCTTGTTCCTCGGCCTCTCTCTCTCTAGCCATTACTTTTCTAAATAATGCCTTTTATGACACGTGGTCACTTTTAATACGTGGTCACTTTTTGACAGAAAGAATAGTACATGATAGTTTTTGGTATAACTCTGGGTAAAAGACTATTATGAGCTAGCTATACAGATAATAATATAGATGTAAGTAATAATTATTGTTGAATGACTGTTACTGCTTATTTAGGTGAATCGTTAGTGCATGTCTTATGGATTGTGCTCTAGATTGTGTTGCTGTAGTGCTAGAGGAGTTTAGTATAAGGCTACTGGCTTGAGTTGGTGGTGTGGTACTAATATCCATGCCGCTGTCTATCCAATCCTCTTGGCAATTGTCACCAAACCTTTCGCAAATATTGTGAAGAGTCACACAAGCAGCCACTATGACTGGTACATTTGTCAGATGGCAATCCATCCTCTTCAGAAGACATCTCCATCTACCCTTGAGTCTCCCAAAGGCGTTCTCTACGACCATTCTTGCCCTACTCTGGCGATAATTATAATGCTTCTCTTCAGTAGTGGCACTGGGTGAATCAGGATATGGCTTCATGAGCCATGGAAGAAGAGGATAAGCCGGATCTCCCAAGATTAACAATGGGATATCAGTCTGTTCAATTCTAACTGACATTGATGGAAACAGAGTACCCTGTCTGCCCTTATTATAGAAGGAAGAGTTGTAGAAAACTCTTGCGTCATGGAGTTTCCCAGGCCAGCCTATATAAGTGTCAATGAACTGTCCTTGATAGTCAACTACGCCTTGGATAATGATGGAGTAAAAACATTTTCGATTGTAATAGTCAGTTGCACACTCTGAGGGGCGTAGTACTGGAATGTGGCTACCATCAATTGCTCCTACAACTTGAGGAAAACCCCAGCGAGTCTTAAACCCGTCAACAGTTTCCCTCAATTTGCTTCCAGTAGGAATCTTAACATAATGTTGTAGGAGATGTTGAGATATGACTGTGCAAGTTTCCATGACAATGGTACATACAGTTGATATACCCACTCCAAATAGGGCAGACAGGGTACGGTATTCAACATTTGTTGCCAATCTCCACACGGTAATAGCAACACGCTCTTCCACTGTCACTGCTGTTCTTAATTGAGTGTCTCTTTTGAATATGTATGGTCTCAGTTGATTGACCAGCATCGTGAATGTCTCATATGACATCCTGAGATTCTCACGCCACCACGACGGACCAAAAAGACCACTTGATGCTGCAAGCCACCATTGTTTAGTACGATGAATGCACCAACAAGTACGACTGCCTGAAGAATTCATCAAGTATACTAAGCGGAGTCTATAGAATTCAATTATTACTCCAGCAGTGTTTTAATTTTATTATAATTGTACCTGTTTGTCATTCTTCTTTTTCTTTCCCTTCTTATCATCATTAAAAACTTTCTTCTAGATGCATCTCTTCTCTGCCTATTCTTTATTTTTAGTTTTTGCAAGTATACAACCATACAAAACAATACTATTATTTGAGCAGCCACCATCACTTCGCGTCTTTTATAATTATCATAGTTGTCATGGTTAGTTAATTATTATAATTATATTCATGAAGTAATAATTATATTCATGAAGTAGTAAAAATAACAGTGTGAACACGATTAATGCGCATTGATTCAGCTGTGTCAACAATGCGCATCGAAGCGCTTTAAAAATTGTGCCAGTGTGAAAAGGCCTTTAGAGATATTTGTGCAGGTTATTTTTGAGTAATCCTATAGTCATAGGTGGACCAGGTTCAGTAATTAAAATTGACGAATCAAAATTCAGTAAAAGAAAGTACAACAGAGGGAGATATGCCGATGGCCATTGGGTATTTGGTGGTATAGAACGTCGAACTAGTAATTGCTTTATGGTAGAAGTAGCAGATA